GGAGCGCCACACTGCCAGAAGGTCAGTAACGAGGGTGAGCCGTGCTGTCGGAAGGTCGGTACCGAGGGAATGCATCTTTTGTGAGATGTGCTATTTTTCATATGCAATGTTAAGCCAAGGTGACTGTAGAGATGTGTGGGACACATTCAGTCAAATTAACGGGGATAACAAGGTGTAGAGCTGGATGAACACTGCAGGCCAAGCAGCATCAGAGGAGTATTTGTCTTATTTTCCATGTTCATTCTCATTTTTACACAAATTGGGTGGCGGGGGGTGGGGTTGGTTTCTTGCATTTCTGGCCTGTACTTGAACTAGCTTCTAATCACTTTGCGTTAATTCTGAGACATTAACCTATATTTGATATGAAGCAAACATGTCTTGAATTCCCTGAGTCTATATTTGGACTCTATCTGGTCACTGTCTTTTGTCTTTGTGTGTAAACACTCCATGTGTCATATTTCAGGATGGAAGTGATAGAAATAGTGAACAAATGAAACGCTTCAGCACCTAAAGGTGACAGAATATAGGATCGAACCTGATATGAACAACCTATTTGTATGTAGTTCTGCTCTATCAATGAAGGAATTGCTCATATAAATAGGAGAAATAGCAAAAAGGGGTTTTAGATCAACTAAATTATTTTATTGTGACTAACACACAGTTATGAACTGAATCTGTTTTCCAGATAGGGCAGTAGTGACTGTACCTCCTTCTCATGAAACAAAAATTTGAGGGGTGGCAAATATTGAGGAAGATAGCCTTTATTAGGAGGATATAGATGGGCTGTTTAGATGGGCTTGCAAATGGAATTCAATCCAGATAAGTGTGAAATGATACACATGGGCAGGACTAAGAAGGCAAGAGAATACATATGAACAGTAGGATCCTGGGAAGCACCGAGGATCAGAAGGACTTTGTGTGCATGTCCACTGGTATATAAAGCAGTTAATAAGGCCTGTGGGATACTTGTCTTTATTAGCTGAGGCAGAGAGGTTAGGAGCAGGGAGGTTATGCTGGAACTACATAAAATGTTTGTTAGACCACAGCTAGAGTGTAGTGTGCATTTTTGGAATCTACGTTTATAGGAGGGATGTGATAGCACTGGAGAGGATGCAGAGGAGATTTATCATGACGCAAAGGAGATTTACCATGATGTTGCCTGGGCTGGAGAGTTCTTGTTATGAAGAGAGATTGGACATATAGGGGCTGTTTTCCATGGAGCACAGGAAACTGAGATGTATAAAATTATGAGGGGCATACACATGGCGGACAGAAAAGAACTGTTCCGTTTGCTGGAGTGATCATTGACTGGGGCTGTAGATTTAAGGTAAGGGGCAGGCAGTTTCGAGGGGATGTGAGGACACTTTTCTCCATCTCCCAGAGGGTGTGGCAGTCTGGAACTCATTCCTGTAAGGGTGGTAGAGGCTGAAACCCTCATAACATATAAAACATATTTAGGGGTAAACTTGAGATGTCAAGGTGTATCAGGCTATGGAGTGCTGGAAAACGGGATTAGAATAGTTAGGTGGTTATTTTTGACTGTCCCAGACTCGAATGGCTGAAGGGCCTTTTTCTGTGCTGTAGACCTCTATGAATGTATAACTAACTGGTGAATGAAGAGATTCCCTACTCAATGGACAAATACCTGCAGTGGAGGGTTTAGGAGGATGTGGGAACTCACAAGGGAGCAGTAAGTTCACATCCTGCTATTCTCAAATCAGTGACTATGCTAGTGGAATTAACCCATGAAAAATTTTTAAAAAACATTTCCCTGCAGAATCTGTGTAGAAAGTGCCCAGTTTATAGGTTATACTTGCTGTGCTAAGGGATGGTTGGGAATTCGTTTCATGATTTCCGCCACAAAGGTCAGCGAGACCCAGTGGGATTAAGTTACTCATTCATGTTGCTATAATGAACAAGCCTAATCAGATAATGAAGTGTTTAACCAAGCTTCCTCAGTGTTAGTGTCATGTCTGCTGTGCCTCTGTAGGTAGCACTCTCATCTTGGAGTCAGCAAGTTATTGATTCAACCCTTGCTTCAATGACTTTGAGGACATAATATTGGTAATTATTATATCGCTGTTTGTGAGAGTTTGCTATGTACAAATTGGCTGCCCATGCTTTCTGTATTACAACAGTATCTGCTCTTCAAAAGTTCTTTATTGGCTCTAAAGCAATTTGTGATGTCTTGAAGTTGTGAAAGGTACTCTAGAAAAGTAAGTCCTTTTTTTTCTGTAAGTACAGTATTTACACATGGACTGCAACAGCTCAGGTAGGCAGCTCACCACTGAAATAACTCCACTGCAGCTGGCAGCCCATCACTAAGTTACCATTATATACACATGAACTGTCCTAGTACTGCCACATTCGGATTCAGATATCAGAGTAGCAATATCTCTGACACTCCTGTTCTCATGTGTCAGCCAGGGCTCCCTGATTGGACCAGGTTAACAGCTCCAGTCAGGGAACTCGTATTCTGAGGTCCAGCTGGCTGACCTCGTTCCAATCACTACAACCACCACCTTCTCAAGGGTAACTAGAGACGGAGAATAAACACTGGCCAGCCAGAGACAGACATTTCCCATAAATGAATTTAAATAAAAAACACACGGGAGTAAATATATTACCCACATTTCTCTGTGATCCAGTGGCTTGCATTTGCATCAGTGGTGCCTGTCATCATTATTCTCTGTCGAGTGTCCAATTGTAACTGTGATATTCCCTTTTCAGGTTGACACCCACATCCATGCTGCTGCCTGCATGAGCCAGAAACATTTACTGAAGTTTATTCAGCAGACCAACAAGACTGAGGCTGACCGAATTGTGCTGGAGAAGAAAGGACGCAAACTGACTCTGAGAGAGGTGTTTGCAAGTCTCAACATGGACCCTTATGATCTCACCGTTGATTCACTCGATGTGCATGCTGTGAGACTTGATTTTCTACTTTTTACCATTGATTTTATAACATCAATAATGAACATTTAAAAATGTTCAGGCTGGCCAGGCTGGTTTTAATATCCATTCCTAATTGTCTTTGAGAGGGTGATGGTGAGTCACCTTTCTCAATAGCAGGACTCCATTTGGTACAGGTACACCTATAGTGCTGTAAGGGAGTTTCAGAATTCTGATCTAGCAGCACCGAAAGAATAGCTGATATATTTCTAGTTCACACTGATGTGTTACTTGGAGCAGCGTGCAAATCTGGAGCCCTTGTCCTTCTAAGTGCTAGAGGCTGTGTGTTTGGTAGGTACTGTAAAATGAGCTTTATGACATACGTTGCTGCCACTGTATAGAGTCATAGAGCATATAAACAGGCCCTTTGACCCACCATGTCTAACTGACCAACAAACACCAAGCTACACTAATCCCATTTAACTGCATTTGGTCCATAGCCTGCTCTGCCCTGGCATTTTCAGTACACATGCAGATGTCTCTTAATGTTGCAATAGTGTCTGCCTCATGTTTCTGAAAAGGTGCAGTTGCCCTACATGGGACCAGAGCAGAAACAATATGATGTTGTCAGAGTTACAGGACCTCAGTCACGTGGAAATGCTGGGAACACAACATTGTTTTCCTTGAAAAAGAGAGTGTTAAAGGGTGACCTGGTGGACATGATTAAAATGATGAGTATTTGCTGGAATACACAAAGAAAATTCTGTCTCCTGATGAAGGATCAATCTCCAAAAGTTTCAGCTTTACAATCATTAGGAAAAGATCGACATGGAAGTTTTTAAATGGCCAAGTTGCTGAGATCTGGAATACACTAGCAGAAGATATGGTGGCAGCTGATGCCGGTAACGATTTGGAAGTGGTTGTTGGTTGGATAGAAATCAGATCAGTTTCTAGTCAATAGTAACTCTCAGGATGTTGATGGTGGTAAGATTGCAGAATTAATTTCAGGATTAATTACACAGATCAGAGATGAGGAACTCCAGTCAATTGTTCCTGCATAATAAAAACATCACAGGCATATAGGGCTGAATATCCTCTTTCTGAAATGTACGCTGCTATGAAAAATCTCTGATTCAACAATGATGTAAAAAAGATATGTGAAAGTTCCCAAAATGACAACTGGGAATTTCCAGCTGATGACTAATACAGATGCTAACTGCATGCGTGACATGTGGTTTCTGAAACTCCAAATAATGTGGCACCATCAAAGATAGAAACTGGTGATGGAGGATGTGAATATTTGTGGTAATGGCTGTGGATCTGATCAATCAATGATTTGAACAGAGTTAGGATTCTTGAGCATAAGAAATTGGAAAAGGACAAGGAACAGACTCCAGCATTGAATAAGATCATGGACGATCTAGTACATCAGTTCCATGTATCCTCCTCTATCCCCTTATTCCTTAATTCCCTCAGTGTTGTGTTGGAGTTAAATTCATCCAGGCAAGTAGAGAGTATTCCATCACACTGCTGACTTATGCCATGTGGATGGTAGACAGGGTGGGATGCTCCACAGAGAGTCAGTGTAGACAATGGGCTGAATGGCCTCTTTCTGCACTGTATGGATTCTATGATCCTAGGCTTTGTGGAGTCAGGAAGTCAATTAAACACCACAGAATTCCCAGCCTCTGATCTACTACTCTAACCACAGTATTTAGAAAGCTGGACCAAATCAGTTTCTGGTCAATAGTAACTGTCAGGATGCTGATGGTGGTAAGATTATTGCAAATAGTAGAAAATGGTTAAACTCCCTTGATTTCACATGGTAAAACATCCAAAGTATTCACAGGAATGTAATTGGACCAAATTTTAACTTTGAGCCACATAAGGAGGTATTAGAGCAAGTGACCAAAAGATTGGTCAAAGAGGTAGATTTTAAGGAACATAAGATACCGAGAAACGGAGAACTATGGTGATTGCAGTGAGCCAAAGTAAAATGAGAGAAGTTGAGTGAGGAGGAGAGGAGAGATATGGTAAGGTTATTTGTGCTCAATAGTCACTGGGTTCAGGGTGCAAAAACACATTGGTTGATGGTAGAGAACAGAACTAACTTTGTCACTCTGACTTTGATTAAAATCAGAACAGGAAATAAAGGAGAAGTATGAAAATTACCAGTGGCCTTTAAAGAAGGTAGAGAAGCTTTACTATAATAGTACTAGGGATGAAGCATTTCAGTGATAATGAGAGACAGGGGAAACTCCAGTTTTCTCGGAACAAGCAAGATTAATGTATGAGGATTCAAATTAGAAGCAGGAGCAGGTCATTCGGCTCCTCGGATCAGTTGTGTCATTCAATACGATCATGACTGTACTGATTGCTATTCATTTTATTTGTTCATGGGATGTGTGCATTGCTGGCTGGGCCAGTACTTACTGCACTCCCTAACTGAGAAGGTGATGGCAACCTGCCTTCTTGAACCGTTGCAGTCCATGTGGTGTGTGAACACCCACCATGAAAGAAGTTCCTGGATTTTGACCCAGTGACTGCAAAGGTAAGGCAATATTTTTCCAAGTCAGGTCACTGGGTGACTTGGAGGGGAATTTACAGGTGGTGATGTTCCATGCAGCTGCTGCCCTTGTCCTCCCAGGTGCTCTAGGTTATGGGTTCAAAAACACTGTTTAAGGAGCATGGATGCTGCAGTGCACCGTATCAATGGCACACATTTCCGTCACTGTGCTTTGGTGGTGAGGGGAGTCAATATTGAAACTGGTGCATTGTGTGCCAATCAAGCAAGTTGCTTTATCCTTAATGGTTTTGACTTTCTTGAGTGTTGTTGGAGCTGCACTCATCCAAGCAAGTAGGGAGTATTGTATCACACTCTTGTAGATGGTGGACCAAGTTTGAGGAGTCAGGAGGTGAGTTCTTTGCTGCAGGATTCCTGGTCTCTAGCCTGCTCTTGTAACCACAATATTTATATGATTAGTTCAGTTTCTGATCAAGTCCTATCCTAAATGGCAATATCATTGTGCTCAGTATTGTGCAGCTATAAGGCATTATGGGCCATCAGCAGCAGCAGAATTTTATTCAACCACAATTTTAATCTTGTGGCCCAGCACATCCCCATTCTACCGTTATCATCAACCCAAGGGGAGGCCATGGCCTAGTGGTATTATTGCTGCCAGTAATCAGGAGACCCAGGTAATGTTCTGCACCATGGCAGATGATGTGAATGTGAATTCAATAGAATTCCATCTGGAAGTAAGAACCTAACAATGGCACCGAATGTCATCATCAGTCATGATCTAGAGAGGCAGAGAAGGCTCTGCAAACTCATGTTGCACCGGGAGATGAATTTCCCTTTAGCTCCAGCTTAAATTAGACATCCCTTATTTTTAAGATGTCTTACCTAGTTCTAGTCACTCACACAAGGGTTAAGGGGAGATTTAAAAGAGCTGTTCAAAATTATGTATAGTTCTGATAAAGTAAGTAATAAGAAATTAGCCAAGCTCTTCCAGTACAGTTACAACACTGACGTGTACCCGAAAATGTGGAAAATTGCCCAAGTATGTTGTGTACATGAAAAGCAGGACAAATTCAACCTGATAAATTACCGCCCCATCAGTTTACCCTCGATCATCAGTAAAGTGATGGAAGGTAACATCAAGCAGCACTTGCTCAGCAATAATCTGCCCAGTGATGCCCAGTTTAGATTCCACCAGAGGCACTCAGCTCTTGACCTCACTACAGCCTTGGTTCAAACATGGACAATAGAGCTGAAGGTGGTGAGGTGAGAATGACAGCCCTTGACATCAAGGCCATATTCAACCATGTGTGGCAGTAAGGAGCCCTAGCAAAACTGGAACCAAAAGGTGTCGGGGCAGCTGGTTGGCATCATACCTGGCACATAGGAAGGTGGTTGTGGTTGTTGGAGGTCAGTCATCTCAGGATATCTCTGCAGTAGTTCCTCAGCTTAGTGTCCTAGGCCCAACTGTCTTCAGCTGCTTCATCGATGACCTTCACTCTATCACAAGGTCAGGAGTGGGGACGTTCGCCAGTGATTGCGTGATGTTCAACACTATTTGTGATTCCTCAGAAATTGAAGCAGTCCATGCTCATTTACAACAAGACAATATCCAGGCTTGGGCTGACAAGTGGCAAGTAACTACCATGCCACGCCACACCAGGCAATCACCATCTTCAATAAAAGAGGTCAGCAGGCCAGGGACTAGGAAAACAATGGTGAATAACTGTCAATACAGTGTGGAGCTGGATGAACACTGCAGGTCAGGCAGCATCAGAGGAGTAGGAGAGTTGATGTTTTGGGTCTAGACCCTTCATCAGGACCAGTCTGCAGTTCTTGCTATCTCTATGGTGAGAACTCACCTTCTGATTTCCCAAAGCCTTGTACCATCTACAAGGCAGAAGTCAGGAGTGTGATGGAATATTCCCTGTAAGGTTTTAGAGTAGATTTGTAGCTCAGTTGGCTCGCTGAGCTGGTTTGTTGTTTCGCAGATGTTTCATTACCCTGCTGGGTAACATCCTCAGTGCAGCCTCTGAATAAGAGCCGTTGTGTTTTCCCACCTGTTATTTAAGCTCTGGAGTCTGCTGAGCTGGATTACCTCATTTCCGGTTTTCTTTCACAGTGGAGTGCATATGTGGTCAAGCTCTATGTGTTTGTTGATGGCATATTCCCTGGTTACCTGGATGGATGCAACTCCAATAGCACTCAAGAAGCTTGACACCATCCAGGATGAAGCAGCCTGCTTGATTGGCACCACATCCAGAAGCATTTACTCCCTCCTCCACCTACGCTCAGTAGCAGCAGTGTGTAGTATATACAAGATGCACTGCAGAAATTCACCAAATATCGTTAGACAGCTCCTTCCAAACCCATGACTGCTTCCATCTAGAAGGACAAGGAAAGCAGATACATGGGAACACTACCACCTGCAATTTCCCTCCAAGCCACTCTATCCTGACTCGGAAATATGCTGTCGCTGGATCAAAATCCTGGAATTCTCTCCCTAAGGGCATTGTAGATTTACCTATAACACGTTAACTCCAGCGGTTCAAGCAACTCACCACCACCTTCTCAAAGGCAACTAGGGATGGGCAATAAATGCTGGCCCAGCTAGCGATGCCCATATTCCATGAGTGAATAAAAACAAACTCTTTACAGTGGCAGGGGGTTAATAACGAGGAGACACAGAATTAAGAAAATATGAAAAAAGCCAAAGACAATTTTCTTTAACAGCGAACTGTTATGTGACCTGGAACGTGCTGCCTGAAAGAGCAGTGGGTGCAGATTCAGTTGTAACTTCCAAGAGGAAATTGGATAAAAGTTTGAAAAGGAGGAATTTGCAGGGCTATGGGGAAAGAGCAGAGGGAGTGATTAATCAATCAGGTATTTCGAAAATATGATATAGAATGATAAGTCAAATAGCCTCTTCCAGTATTTCTATGAATTTAAATTCTATTCTCAAATATAAATCTTTTGAAGTGTATGTCTGAAGAAAATTTGTTTTTGAAATTTAATCTCTTGTAGGGCCGGCAGACATTTCATCGGTTTGATAAATTCAACGCAAAGTACAATCCAGTCGGTGCAAGTGAACTGAGAGATCTTTACCTGAAAACAGACAACTACATGCAAGGAGAGTACTTTGCTCGGATCATAAAGGTATAATCATTTCGTGGAGTGAGTAACAATTTGCATCTTAAACTAAATTCACAGAACCGGCATAGACTCGAGCCTAAAGAAGGACTCAGTATTTATATCACCTTCTACAACCTCAGGACACCTCGCAGTGCAGAACAGAAAATGGAATACTTGCAAAGTGGAGGTGTTGTATGGGCATGCCAACTCACTGCACTGAATGTGTGACTGCCACCACCCTCGTTATCTGTAGGAAACTACAGGGCACCTTTGGTATAGTGTGGTAGAGGAAAACTGTCATCCTGGCTTCATTAGAAGAGTCTTTTTTTCATGAGCAAGATGTAGTTTATGGCATATCAGCAACTAGTTACTGATTAAATTGATTTGACAGAAATTGTTATAGGGACTTTGCGGGAGACCAAAAATAAGGACCTTTGAGATTCTGAGCTGTTCTGCCCACAAGTTGGTATCGTGTCGTCATAGTAAGTGGCACTTATTGTACTTTTCAGTATTGACCCTTCCATACCCTTAAACAACATTTAGCCACTGGTGTAGGATACATGGCAGTCAATCTTACTCTGTCAGTCTACTAGTCAATCAATCATTTGAGAGTAATGTTACAGTCCCATAAGTAAGCATAAGCCAGAGATATCATACATGTGTGCTTAAGAGTTTTTAACAAACGTTAAGGCAACTTCTGAACCAGAACCCAGTCTTCATGGCATATGTTGCATAGAGTAATATACAGAGAAACAACCTGACCATATCATACCAGCAGAGGTATTTGACCCTAAGGAAACCACAAGAGGGAGTGCTGCCATCTTTCAGGAGAGAAGTTAAAGTGAGGACCACCTACTTGCTTGACTGAATATAAAAGATCCCATGGCACTATATCAAAGAAAGGCAGGGGAACACTCTCTGAAGCTTGGTCCAATATTCCTCCCTCTAGCAACATCACTAAAACAAAATATGTGCATACTAACTCAATGTGGATTGTGGGAGTTGTTGTATATGAATGTTTGCTGTATTTTCTACATCACAACAGTAGCTACACTTCAAAAGTACTGAATTGGCTGTAAAACATTTTGTGATGTCCTGAGGTCATGAAGTGAGCAACAAAAATAGTGAGCCTTTTGTTTTCCATGCTTCCTGTGGAGTCAAATGATTGTATGTGCTTGTCCACAGGAGGTCTCCCGCGACCTGGAGGAAAGCAAATACCAGTACTCAGAACCACGACTATCAATCTATGGTGGGTCACCAACTGAATGGGCCAGTCTGGCCAGGTGGTTTATTAAACAGCAAGTCTACTCTCCAAATGTCCGCTGGGTTATTCAAGTTCCTCGCATTTAGTAAGTCCAAAGTTTCTAAATGACTAAAATGTTAATGGAGGGTTAGATCCACTGACTAGTGAAGAACATCACAAGAGATAGCAGCAGGAGTATACCATACAACTCATTTGCCATTCATTGAGATGTTGGGCTTTAGCTCCACTTTCTGCCTGCTCCTTCAAATACCTTGATTTCCCAAGACATCAAAAATCTGTTTATCACGCTGAATGTATGTGATAATAGCACATTCCACCAGACTCTGGGATTGCTAATTCCAAAGGCTCGTAACCCTTTGGAGTGAGGAAATTTCTCTTCATCTCCGCCCAAAATGATCGATCCAGTAGTCAATGTTCCTGTGTCCTGATTCCCCAGCCAGCAGATTCTAGGAGGGGCTTGAAAGAGTAAATTTTGAGAGAATGCTTCCTCTTGTCAGGATATCTAAAAGTAGGGCCACCATTTGAGGTTAAAGGGTCTCCCATTTTAAAATGTAGAAGACTTATAGAAGTTTATAAAATAATGAGGGGTACGGATAGAGTTAATGGTAATTGTCTTTTCCCAAGGATGGGGGATATCAAGACTAAGGCGCACATTTTTAAGGTGAGAGGAGATTTAAAAAAGAAATGAGGGACAAATTTTTTACACAAAGGGTGATTCATGTGTGAAATGAACTTTCAGAGGATGTGGTGGACGTGGGTACATTTACAACGTTTAAAAGGCATTTGGATAGATACATGAATAGGAAGGGTTTGGACGGATATGGACCAGGAGCAGGCAGGTGGGACTAGTTTAGTTTGGGATTGTGGTCGGCATGGACAGATTGGGCCAAAGGATCTGTTTCCATACTGTATGACTCTAGGAGGAATTTCTCCTCTGCAGGTTGTTAAACTGTGGAATTTTCGTCCCCAAAGAGCAGTGGAGGCTGGATCATTAAATAGATTCAAAGCTGAGTTCGACAGATTTGCATTCTGCAAGGGAGTTAAGAGTTATTGGGATGGGCAGGACAGTGGGAGTTAGTCTCAGTCAGCTTAGCCACGATCTTATTGAACAAAACAAACACGGGGCAACACTTCTCCTGCGTATATTTATTATCTTTATATGTCTCCCGTTATAAATTCAGCCACATGTCCCACTTATACAGAGTTTTCAAAAGGAATGGATACCCATAAAGCATAATCCACCATTACCTCCGTGACAGACCACAACAAGAAGACACAACACAGCCAGACACACTAGTCACCCTACTGTACATCAGAGATAAACCAGAGATGACCACAAGACTACTCAGACCCCTAGGTATCAGGGTAGCCCACAAACCAACAGCCTCCCTGCGACAGCTACTGACGAATGTAAAGGATCCCATACTCACAACCAATATAACAAACGTAATATACAAAATACCGTGCAAGGACTGTGAGAAACATTACATAGGCCAAACTGGAAGAAAACTGACAACACGGATACACGAATACCAACTAGCCACTGGTCTCAACACACACGGACAAAGAAGGACATGAATTTGACTGGGACAACAAATCCATTACAGCACAAACCAAACAGAGACGTGCCAGGGAATTCCTGGATGCCTGGCATTCCAACCGGAACTCCATCAACAAACACATTGAACTGGACCCGATACACAAACCACTGAGAAACAGAACTGGAAGTAATGCCAACCACCCCAGCAAACCGAGGCATATAAATAACAAGCGGGACAGAACACCAACGCTTCACCGGAGGCACACTGACGGTGTTACCTAGCAGGATTATGAAATGTCTGCAACCAAACACACTGCTCGGTGAGCAATTCTACAACCTCAACCTCATCAATACTGTTATTACACAAAAATAATGACCTCAGAAATTATTTTCGCCATTGGGATTAAAGTTATAAGTGTACAAAGAAGATTGTGCGCAGCTAGATCTCGAGCAACAGAAAAGTTGAATGATGTTGGGTTTGGCTGGTTGTGTTTGAAATGATGAACAGAACAATTGGCGAACCTTTTGCAGATCTTTCAATTCAAAAATCAGAGTTAATGTTTCAGGACTAGTGATTCTTCCTCAGAAAGGGTCAGTGGACTTGAAACGTTAAGTCTGATTTTCTCTTCACAGATGCTGCCAGACCTGCTGAGCTTTTCCAGCAACTTCTGTTTTTGTTCCTTTTGAGGTGAAAGTTCTCTCTTAGTACTCATCCTTCAGTGCTGAAGTATTACTTCAATACTGAGGTGGGAATGTAAGCTTTTTATCTGTTCAGTTTGATGGAATAAGACTTGAACCTATGACCTAATGAAGATGTATCCATTTCCCACTGAGGTAGGTTAATGATTTTGCCCCATAAGTAGCTTTGTTCAAAGAAACCTGGACATGTTCACTGTGGAGTCAGACAATGGCAATGATGAGAACACACCATATTGTCTTGAAAATCATACGAGGTGGTGAGGCTGGAGAGAGTGAACTGATTTCATTGCCTTTTTATTTTGATTGCAGTGATATATTTCGAACAAAAAAAATCTTGCCTAGTTTTGGAAAAATGCTGGAGAATATTTTCTTGCCTCTCTTTGAAGCAACAATCAACCCCAAAGAAAATCGGGAACTTCACCTCTTCTTAAAATACGTGCGTAAACTATCTGTATGCTCTACTTCTGTAATAGTGCCTTAAATCATCTGCCTGCTTTTTAAAAAATTGTGTATTTACTTAAAGAAACTGAAACTAATTTAAATAAGAAAATCAGCAAAACATTAACTCTGGGCATCTAAATAAAAATTACTCAATTTTCATAAGATTTATTCTGAAGAAGAGCTTTTAAAAATATCAAGTAAATAAACAGTAATAATAGCATTTGGAGTTTGATCGCAGACTGATTATGTTGTAGCAAAGGAGCCTGAACAAATGATCCTGGGACATAAGTTCAGATTGAATCTTGGCAAATGAGGAAATAAAATTTGTTTAATTTAGTAAGACTAGAATAAAATGATGTCAGTAATGATCACCATGAAACTACCAGGTTTTTGCAAAAAAAAATCTGGTTCATTATGTCCTAAAGGTGAGGAAGAGCCACAGACACATAGTTGATGATTGATTGGCTTCATCATGGGCAAACAAGCCACTCAGTTGTATTAGGGGTGGGCAATAAATGCTGCCCATGTTGATGATGCCTTTACAAACGAATACATTTTAAAAAGGTTGTCTCGATCTTGAGACAAATTTCAGTCACTTTACATAGAAGTGTAAGGGAGTCATGACATAGTGAGAGAACTGAACAAGGCTCAGACAGAAGCTTTTAAAGATAAAGAGGGAGGGGGATAGAACGGGACAAAGTTATACGAACAGAGCTTCAACTGTAGCACTGGTTGCGAGCAATAAACAAGAATTAGAATACTTGCTGGGTTAATGTGGTAAAGAACACATCCTGATTATTGCCGATGAGTTGCTCTGTGTAGGTGGTTAGCTGATACAATGGTGGGTCTTACGAAGCCACATCAGGGCAGTGGTTAAGATATGACCAAATGGTGTGGGCATGTAAGGCCCAGGCCAGGTAAGAGAGAGATTTCCTCCTTTTAAAGGATGCCAGTAATCCAGTTGTCAGTGCATCAATTCTATATGTAACAGAAGGCACTAGCTTCACAGCCATTATGACTGAGATCAAGCTTTTATTCCCAGACTTTTTACACATGAATTAAAGCTCTCAAAACATTGTGGTTGGATTTGACCTGGCTACTATACGAGGCCCTGCATCATGCAATGTCCAACAGGTTTGCTTTCTGTTGTAGGTGACAGGCTTTGACAGTGTGGATGATGAATCTAAGCACAGTGCTCACATGTTCTCAGTGAAGAGTCCAACCCCTGGGCAATGGACAAGGGAGCAGAACCCACCATACAGCTACTACCTCTACTATATGTATGCAAACATCATGGTGCTCAACAACCTGAGGAAGTAAATATCCTTTAACTACTTCACTCATTGCAATGAGGGTCACATGTTTAATGTGTAATTGAACTTTCAAAAGAAGCTCAATAAAGTAGTTTGGAATAACCTCGTTAGGTAAATTAAAAACCATGGAAATTAGAGGGGCAGTGGTAGCATTGATAGAAAATTAGTTGAGAGACCGCAAGCAGAGAGTAGAAATAAGTTATTGTTTTTCAGACTGGAGGCAGATTGTACAATGGTGTACCTAGGGAATTGGTATTCGGACACATATCTCTCTTTGATATATACTAATAACCTGCAATTGGGTAGGACAAAACTTCAAAGATTACAGATAACACAAATCTTGGAATTGTTTTAACAATGAGGAAGGTACTAACGGGAGGGCATGGACTGGTGAAGTGAGGTGGCAAAATTTAATACAGAGAAGAGAAAAGAGATTTATTTTGGTTGGATGTGAACTATTTGGCATAATCTTAAAGGGTGTGTGGGAACAGAGAGGCCTGAGGGTATGTATGGAAATCTTTGAAGGTGAAAGAACAAATTGAGGAGGCTCTTTTAAAATCAGTACGGAATACACTGACTTTATTAATGGAGACATACAGTAACAAAATCAAGGATATTACGTTAAACCCTCATAAAGGCACTGGTTGAATCCTCGCTGGAACATTGCACCCAATCCTGGGCACCAGACTTTAGTGACTGGCAACAAATGAGAGAAAAGATCTCTCTACAGAGTGTTATTATTATCTTGAATGTTCTCCCTGAAAGAGTAATGTAATCAGATTCAACAGTAACTTTGTAACAGGAATTAGAAAGGGTAAAAGAAAAATTGCAGTGCTCTGGGGAAACAGCAAGATGAGTGAGACTCATGGGACAGCACTTTCAAAGAGATGGCACAAGCATGATGGGCTGAATGGATTCCACTGTGCTGATCATTTCATTGTTCCATAGTTTGGGCTTTTCTAAATTCCACAGGGTTTTAGTTCACTGATTCCAGCTCAACAATAAGTTTGGTGAAGGAGAAATGAAATGGAACTGATGAATCCTGCTACAGTCAGCCACTGGAATTGGGTTTTATTTTGGGCAGGAGGGGGGTTAGAAGTGAGATGCAGATTTGGTGAAAAATTCTTGACGAGCCAAGGACGAGGCCTGGATCTTGTTACCTCCTGATAAACCATGGTACGTGACTGATACTCTGGTTTGTTTTTCAGGGAACGAGGATTGAGTACATTCCAGTTCCGACCTCATTGTGGGGAGGCTGGTTCAATCACGCACTTGGTTTCAGCCTTTCTAACAGCGGACAATATTTCACATGGACTGAATCTTAAGAAGGTACACTCACACACAGCAACAGTACAGAATCATGAGGGTGCTGTGAAAATCCGTCTTGCTCATTAACATCACATGTATCTCATTTTAAACTAATAAGTGCCAGCTGTGACACTCTCGGTAGCACTGTTGGCTCTGAGTCAGGATTGTGGATTCAAGTCCTACTCCAGTCACGTGGGGACATAATTCAGACTGACAGTGCCCAGTGTTGCACAGCTGAGGGAGTTGTACTGGGAATTTTGCATTGTCTTTCAGATGGATATTAAACTAAGGCTTTAGCTTCCATCTCAAGTGCATATAAAAGATCCCAAGACACTATCTGAAGAGAACAGCAGAGTGTCTATCACAACCAACAACATTGAAATAGATCTATGATTCTTTATGGATCTGTATTGTCTGACTACATTCCAAAAAAAGCATTACATTGGCCCTGAGGTGCTTTGGGATAGCCTAACATCATGAAAGGTGCTATAAAACTGTTTGGTTTCAATCTATGTCTTTTATGGTTTCAAAATTTAAAGATGATCAATTGTAATGAGTCGGTCTTAACAGGTGTGCTGCTGTAATCAGTAGTATATATCAATGATTTAGATTTGCATTAGTCATGATGAACATGTTTGCAGATTATATTAACATTGGCTACGTGGTTGATAGTGAGGAAGGAAGCTATTGAGATATCCCTGATCTGGTCATGTGAATGGAAGAGTGACATATGGAACTCAATCTGGACAAGACAGAGGTAACGTAAAGTAAGAGACTCAAGAATTAGAGTGACTTAATTGATTTTTTTCATTCAGCGTGTAAAGCAGAAGTCTGGAAGTCACTGCCTGAAAAAGTGGTAGAAGCAGTAACTCTCATTGCATTGAGAAAAAACACTTGGATATACTCTTTACCCCACAGACTAAGTGCAGGAAGGCAAAAAAACTGGATAGTTCTTTTACAGCAAGCACAGTATAATAGGCTGAATGGTGTCTGTCTGTATCATATTTTGTTTTTCATGTTTCTATGTTCTGACCCCTTTTCTGGTCTCAGTTGGAACACTATCTTTCCTTGATTGCCTTGCACTGGGAAAATGATCCCCTAGCCCTGGAAACTCCTGCTGGGAACTTTGTGTGTGAACATCAGGTAGGCTCATGTAGCCAAGCAGACAGCCGTTCTCAAAATGAGCGAGCACTAACAGGACAGGAGAATGCTGGGAATCTGTAATCAGCTTCCAGTATTTGTGACTGTTATGGACATGGTGTCCCTTTCTCTCTGATGACCTTCATTTAACTTCAGTGCAGGCAGAGGATCTGACAGATTGCAGACTAAATGCAGAAAAGCATCCAGAATAAAAGAAGATCAGTTAGCACCCAATCCCATTCCAAATGGGCAAGAGGTCAAGACAACACTTGGTAATTCAATATTCATCTGTAAATCTCAAACTAGCTTTGCGTTTAGGGACTCACATTAGATTGCTGTAAACAGCAGCTGTAAGTTGGAAAGAAATTTGTCCTTTTGCTTTATAATAAATATGATCATTCTTCACAGTCTTAAGCATTTATGATAACTTGAATTTTCATTGTACCTTTCAAATCTGGAGTATTATTTCAATACTAAACACCACACTTCAGGAACAATGACAAGGCTATGGAGAAGGTCCAGTAATAGTATGACGGATGAAGGGACTTGAGTTCTGTGCAGAGTATTGCTTTTCTTAGAGCAGAGGTTGAGGGAAAACAGATATTTAAATATCTAACAGAAGAAAGATAGAAGTCAGATATTTGAGAAAAGAACCAACAGGAAGGCGAAAGTGTCTTAAGCTGCAGGTTATTGTGGTCTGGAATGAGCTCCCTGAAAGGGTGGTGGAAGCACATTTAACAATAATTTTCAAACAGGAATTGAACGGATTGTTAAAGAGGAAAACATTGCAGTGTCATAGGGAAAGATCAGAGGTGTAGGACTAATTGGTCAGCTCTTTCAAAGAAATGGCACGCAGACAATGGACTGAAGTAATTCCTCTGATGCGGTCTCATTTAATGTCCGTTAGGTTATTTAACAGTTTGTTGTAGCCAATTAATAAACTTTTAAAGTTATGCCAGCAAAACGATAGTCATGGTGTGTCAAACAGTAATGAAAAGCAGCAGTGAATCTGTGTTTGCTGATGTTGGTGGAGGAAATGATGGTGGCCAGGACAACAACACTGCTTTTCTTCAAATAACATCATAGGAATTTTAAGCCATCTGAACAGGCATGAGGGGATCTCAGTTTAACATTATATTCAAGGAACTGCCCCAGCTTACAGGACAGCGCTCCCTCTGTCTGCCTTTCTGATAACATGAACCTCCCTCAAAACAAAGATTGCCCCTGGTGACTGTCCCCTCAGTCCGATGGTAATTTAACCCACCTAAATTTGTATTTTGTGTTATGTACATCATTTATTTAGTGTAATATTGTTTTTGTTTATACTACAAGTAAGAAAGCCTGATTATATTTGTGTTTTCCAGAGTCCAGTACTTCAGTATCTCTACTACCTCGCTCAGATACCCATCGCCATGTCACCGCTGAGTAATAACAGCCTTTTTCTGGAATATTCTAAAAACCCACTGCGTGAGTTTCTACACAAAGGCCTCAAGGTCTCTCTCTCCACAGATGACCCCATGCAGTTTCATTATACAAAGGTTGGTGTCTCCTAAATGCTATGCAATGCTCATCAAGACTCTGATGGAATTATTTTCTGCCTTGTAAATGGCCATTCCCACAGATTATGTGTCAACACTGACCAGAATTCCCCACACTGTGTGAGACTGAGTAATGAAGCTGGAGAGCAAGCCTCAACAAAGTCACCATTTAAAAAATAGCAGAAGAAAACTTTCATTACAGTATGGTGGGGTATAAAGGGAAAATATATAGTTAATGATTGGGAGCTTGTGCAGCCACCTAAGGAATGATTACAGTGGGGAGAAAGGCCATTCAGCCCATCGAATCTGCACCAACCCTCCAAAGAGCATCCCAAACAGACCTATCCTTAAACCTATCCCATAATCCAACATTTACCGTGGCTAATCTACCTAAACTGCACATCTTCGGACTGTGGGAGAAAACTAGAGCACCCAGAGGAAACCCATGCAGACACAGGAAGAATGTGCAAACTCCACACAGACAGTCGTCCGAGACCAGAATTGAACCCGATGCCCTGGCTCTGTGAGGCAGTAGTGCTAACTAGTGAGCCATTGTTCCACTCCCACAAGTGATACCAGTGACACAGAGAATTAACGGGTTAATAGAGTTGGCGGAGATGAAGTCACTGTAGTCATCAGCTCAAACTGTTTATTCACTTCTGCACCTTCTACTAGTTTGTCTGTGAAAATGTAAATTCCAGAGTGAAAAACATGAATACATTGGATGAAGATCAAGAATGTTTTGCTGGTTGTTTTTGTCCATCTGTTAATATTCAGAAATAATTTTATCTTCTGTACCTGATAACCAAGTTTAACAGATTTCAAAGTCAAGAGAAATCTCGGGGTGGCGGAGGGTGGGGTGCAGGGAGCTAGCCTTTGAGTGTGTGAGAGAGTTGAGAGCTTGAATCTTTTGCCTGAATGTTTATAATTGTATTCTTGACATTAGCCATCTCTGTTTTCAAATTGGCATTTGTTCCGCAACACCAAGTTGGTTGGTTTCTGCTTTCTGGCATGTTGCTGCTTGTTCTTTGTGCTGGGAACTAACAAATTGTTCTGTTCTGATTCAGGAGGCACTAATGGAGGAATATGCGATCGCTGCCCAAGTGTGGAAACTCAGCACCTGTGACCTGTGTGAAATAGCTAGGAATAGTGTGCTTCAAAGCGGCTTGTCACATGAGGTAAAACTATAAAAACAAAATTTTGAATAAGGCTGCATGATCTAAGGGATCTTGTTAATATCAGGTTTCAGTGCTCAGGTAGGGATGGAGATTTTCAGTGAACAGACAGCGACTTGAGAAAAAAACAGATGGGAGCAAATTTAATTCTGCCAACTACAAGTGAATATTGCCAGTGATCAGGGGAAGTGAAGATGAGAATGTGCCTGACTTGCCTTTTGTACCTCCTCCACCTCTCCTTTAACAGAGACACCTAGGTAGTGTAATTCCAGTGCAAGTTTTGTGGAAAACCTTTATACCAGCAGTCTAAAGCAAATGTCTGCTATTGTTTTTGGGGAGAAAGAGAAGGGCATCCTTTCCTGCATACTGCAGTAACTGTGTGTGTGTGTGTGTGTAGGGGGATGTGTCCATCTTGAATATTAAAGTTTCTCCCCTGCACCAAGACAATGGAGAGAGCATTTAGAGTTTTTAACCATGATGTAATTTTGAAATCTAAGCAATGAAACATGACCAGTAACTGAGCACAAACCTGCACATGGTGTCAATTAATTCTAACTCTCTCACGGAAAAATATTCTTCCCTACACAATCTGTGCTCTTTTCTCCAGACAAACTGAGAATCAATGCAAATGCAGACAATAGTTCAAAAGAAGTAACAAACAGAATTCTTTTTGTGCAAGTAAACCCATCAGAATCGATCGCTGAAAGCACATGACCCGATTAATCCTGAAAGTGTGACTCCTGAGGTTTTGACATGATTTACAAGAGCTGCTGCAAAGTGAAGGCTAAACTAGCATCAATGTTTATGGTGAAGGTGAAGGTGAATGATCTGGGTACAGAGGTGAGTTGTAGTTTATTGTGCAGGAATAAAGTGTTAAATAACATAAGGCACTGCTTCAACCAATTAAACAAAGCAGAGTTCTAAGTTATAGATCAGTGGTGGGGTGATAATATAATGGCAATGTTACTTCTGGACTAGTAATGCAGGAACTTTCCCTAACACTCTGAGGTGGAGTTCAAAGTCACACTGTAGCAGGTGGGGGAGCTGGAATCCAGTTAATAATAAAAATGGAATAAAATGAGGGTAAGCTAGCTGGTAATAAAGAAGATTGCAGGAGTTTTTTCATGCCCTGAGAGGTGAGAATGGTCATTGGACTGCTAGAAAATGAGAATGGAGAAGTAATAATGAAGAATATAAAAAATGGCAGAGGAACTGAATAAGTGTTTTGTGTCAGTCTTCACTGTGGAAGATGTTAGTAGCATATCAGAAATTCGAGAGTCAGAGGTGAGTGTAGTGGCCATCTTTAGGATAAGATGGTAGGGAAGCTGAAAGGTATAGGATAAATCACCCAGACTGGATGGACTACACCCCAGAGTTCTGAATGAGACAGGAATAGGAGATTTGGGACGCATTGGTGGTGATCTTCAAGAATGACTGGAGTCTGGGAGGGTCCCAGAGGCCTGAAGAATGGCTAACACCACTGTTTAAGATGGCAGGGTGGCAGAAGAACAAGTAGTCTTGAGGGAGGCTGCAGAGGGACTTGGACAGGCTAGGAGGGTGGGCAAGGAAGTGGCAGATGGAATACAATGTGGCAAAAGAGTGAGGTTATGCCCTTATTTAGGAACAGAGGTGTGGACTATTTTCTAATGGGGAAAGGCTTTGGAAATCTGAAGCACAAAGGGACTTAGGAGTCCTAGTTCAGGATTCTCAAGGTTAACATGCAGGTTCAGTTAGCAGTTAGGATGGCAAATGCAATGTTAGCATTAATTTTAAGAGGGCTAGATTACAAAAGCAGGGATGTACTGCTAAGGCTGTTTTAGGGTCCAATCAGACCACTTAGAATTTGGAATATTGTGAGCAGTTTTGGGTCACATATCTAAGGAAGGATGTGTTGGCCGTGGAGGGGATCCAGGGGAGGTTTACGAGAACGAGCCTGGGAATGAAGGGCTTGTCATACGAGGTGCAATTGAGGACTCTGGGTCTGTATTCGATGGAGTTTAGAAGGATGAAGGATTTTATTGAAACTTACAGAATACTGAGAGGCCTGGATAGAATGGATAATGGAGAAGATAGTTCTACCAGTAGGATAACTTAGGACCTGAAGTACAGCCTCAGTGAATGGATAACCCTTTAGATCTGAGATGAGGAGTTCTTTCAGCCAGAGGGTGGTAAATCTGTGGAACTCATTGGCGCAGAAGGCCGTGGAGGCCAAGTCATAGAATCCCTACAGTGTGAAAACAGGCCATTCGGCCCAACAAGTCCACACCGCTCCTCCGAAGAGCATCCCACCCAGACCCATTATCCTACCCCGGATTTCCCATATCTAACCTAAACTTCCCTGGGCACTATGGGCAATTTAGCATGGCCATCCACCTAGCCTGCACATGAGAGGAAACTGGAGCACCCAGAGGAACCCTATGCAGACACAGGGGAGAACATGCAAACTCCACACAGACAGTTGCCCGAGGCTGGAATTGAACCTGGGTCCCTGGGGCTGTGAGGCAGTAGTGCTAACCACTAAGCCACCATGTCATTGAGCATATTTAAGACAGAGGCTCTTGCTGAGTAAGGGGATTAAGTATCACAGGGAGAAAGTTGGAGAATGAGGTTGAGAAACATATCAGCCATGATCGACTGGCCTATTTCTGCTGCTCTGTCTTATGGTTTAAAACATTATTAATGACCATAAAACTACCAGATTGTTGTTTAAAAAAAAAACACCTGTTGTTCTTCTGAGGAAATCTGTAGCCCTGACCTGGTCTGGCCAATATGTGAAGCAATGTAAAAAGGGTCACCAGACCTGAAACATTAACTCTGATTTCTCTCCACAGATGCTGCCAGACCTGCTGAGCTTTTCCAGCAATGTGACTGACTCTTAACTGCCCTCTGGATGTCTTAACAAACCACTCCGTTGCATTAAACCAAATTAGAAAAAAAAATGTGCTCTTGGGAATACACACTAAGGGAGACTGCAGTGGTTCAAGAAGACAGCTCACACCACCTTCAGGGAAATCAGGGATGAACAGTAATTGCTGCTGTTGCCAATGACCACACATCCAGAGAGCATATGAAAGTATATATACCTCGGAATGAGAAATTGGTCTGTTTAAGCCCCAACTCCAGTGATTGAGCCCATAATTTGACCATGAGTTCGAGAGTAAAAATGAGATGGGCGCAGCTGAGTGTTTGGCTGGAGAGTTGATGTAGGTGAGAGGGGCTTTAAATTCCTAGGGCACTGGGACCTATTCTTGGGAAGGTGGGTCCTGTACAAACCAGATGGGTCAACACGGCTGGGACCAATTCTGTAGCTGGGCGGTTTGCTGGTGATGTTGGCCAGCTGAAAGTCGAAGGCACAGGGAGTAAAGACTGGAAAATGGATTAATGGAAACCAAGTACTTAATGGCATATACTTACAAGGAATCCGATGATTAAGGCAGTGAGGAGGCAGATAGATATTTAGAAGTATATCATAACTGTTACTAAAATATGGCTTATAAGACAAGAACAGCAGCTTAACTTTCTTAGTCACAGGGTTTTCACATGGAATAAGGGAGAATTGGAAAAGGTGGGCAGTGTTGCAGTACTAGACATGGAAGCAATGAGTTGAGGTTTCCTCTGGGCGGACAGTTGTTAATCCAGAGTAGCTGGGAGTTGTGCATGGGGTCCTTGCAAAATCCACATCATAGCAGAGTCTGAAGTAAATAGCTGGGGAATTGATGCTTCCACTGGGCAATTCCCCTATACCTGAACTGAAAGTATCCATTTAATTTTAACTCCCGACTAGCTCTTTAACAGATCCTATAATTAACCCCAACCCCAAGTCCCCCATACCCAGTGCGACCAGAGCTGACCTGATGCCCTCTCTCCCCTTTTGGTCTGTTGGACCTGCCCCAACTGATGGAATTAACTGAAACCCGCTTGCTGCCAAACTGAACTTGAACTGAATCCCCTGCCTCTGGACCAGACCTGACCCCTCGACCATGGCCCCTGCTGCCAGACCTGACCTAGCCACAGCTGGTGGACTCAACATACACCCCACCCCGCACCCATCCTACCTCCCACCACCTCCCCCCACCAAAAAAAAACACTAGAGCTGAGCTGACCGCTCTCACTCCCAACCAGACATGAACCAGTTTGACTCTTGCTGGACCCAATCCAACCAAACTGGACCAGAATCCCCTCCATTCCAACACAAACCCTACCCCACCTCTTCCAATCAGGCACCTAGCCCGTTACCCAGCAGGCACGTACGTATCAGGAAACTAACCCACTTGCCACATGAATTCCCTGACACCCTACACCTACCCAGCTGGGATCCTACCCACGTGGTACCCTACGTACCTGGTACACTGCCCCTTCCCATCTGGCATCCCAACCTCCAAATACCTTAATATTATGTACCTATGTACTTACGGTCTGACAGCGGCTTGCCAAAATAGCTGTCACAACCTTTGCATTTCAGAATACGGAAGTTGACTGCTGTGGAAAGGGGGCATGGTTTGTCTTGTTATCAGTTCTACACAATGTAGAATTGTCAGGATGTTGGTACAGCTCTATTTTTGAAAGAACCCTGATTGGAATCTGTCAGGGATGCAGAGCTCCCCTCTTTCGTAAAAAAAGATGAAAGGCTGGTGTGGCAATCTGCGTGAGATTGCCACTCGTTGCAAAATCTTTGAGGAAGGGTAAAGGAAGAAGCATCAGAGTAAGCCATATGGTTGAATTGAGGAACAAAAAAATGACAATGAGTCAGTTGGGGATGTACCAAGGACGCCAGTCAGAGGGCGTTAAAGGGAAAATATTTTGGTATATTTCTGAGAAATGCAGAAATGAAAGCTGAGAAATAGCAGGGGGATTTCAATTATCCTAATATTAACAGAGATAAAATCATTACAAAAGGTATAGAAAATGCAGAATTCTTAAAATTTGTGTGATCAAAATTACTTTAGACAGCAGACAGTAAGCCCTATAAGAAAAAGTTCTGAATTTAGTCATAGGAAATAAAGTTGGGAATATGGAAACCATGGTATAGATGGGGCAGCATTTTAGTGACAATGATCATAATTCAGTAAGACTTGGAGTGGTCATTGAAATTAATAAAGATCAACCGAGAGTAAAAGTTAGAAGGGTGAGTTTTACTAACCTGATGCGCGGTGGCTCAATGGTTAGCACTGATGCCTCACAGCGCCAGGGACCCAGGTTCAATTTCAGCCCTGGGAGAGTGTTTGTGGAATTTGCACATTCTCCCTGTGTCTGCGTGGGTTTCCTCCGGATGCTCTAGTATCCTCCCACAGTCCAAAGATGTGCAGGCTAGGTGGATTGGCTATGCTAAATTGCCCATATAGTGTCTAGGGTGGGAAGTGCAGGGATAGGGTAAAGGGGGTGTCTGGGTGGGATGCTCTTCAGAGGAGTGGTGTGGACTCGATGGGCCAAATGGCCTGCTTCTACACCGTAGGGATTCTATGATATTACAAAAGTGGACTGGAATAGCTTCTTAAAGGTCAAACAGTGACAGGATATTGGGAGACATTTAAGGAGGAAACAGTGAGGATTCAGAGCAAATGGGTTCCCAAAAAGATTCCAAAAATCTAGATTCTTCTGGATGTTAAGGAGCACAGGAGAGGAGAAAATAAGGTCAGATACTGAAAGCTAAATATTGCAAGGCTAGAGTATAAGAGTATAGGGGAGAGGGGAAATTAAAAAAGGAAACAGAAGGCACATAAAACATTGACATGCAATATCAAGTAAAACCAAAGAGGCTTTATTACTCAAAGAGTAAGATAAGGGATGAAAGAATTGGGCTAGAGACCAGAGGTTTGCAAATCATACAGAAGTTGGTTGTGTGCTTTACTTTGAGAACGAAAGCCATAATCACAGCAAGGCATCAGTGGACTGATTGGATGGGTAGAAAAGTGACAAATGGAATTTAATCTAAAGCAATGTGGGGTAATGTATTTGAGGTGGGCCAACATGGCAAAGGCATGCACAATAAATGATAAGGCACCAAGACGTAAAGGAGTAGAGGACCCTTGGAATGTACGTTTGCAGATCCTTGAATATAGCAAGGCGTAAGTAAGGTGGTTAAGAAGGCTTAAGGGATAATTTCCTTTATTAGCCAAGGCATAGAAAGTAAGAGCAGGAAGGTTATGAAACAATTAATCCAGAAGCCCATGCTAATGCTCTGGGGGGGAAAACCCACCATGTCAGCTGGTGAAATTGCAGTGACAAGCAATTAATAAAATCCAAAACATAAAGCAAGAGAACTATTGTAAAAACACATCTAGTTCACTATTACCCTTATGGGAGGGAAATTCACCATACTTACCCGGTCTAGTTCAAACTTGACTCCAGACCCACCACAATGAAGTTAGTTCTGAAGTGCCTTCTGAAATAGTCTAGCATGTCAGTCAGTCCAAGGGCAATTACAAATAGGTAATAAATGCTGGTTTTGCTAATAACATCCACATTAAAGAATAAAACACCACTAGAGAAGGTTCAGAGGAGATTAAGCAGATTGCAAGGACTGGAGAATTTTAGTTATGAGGAAAGATTGGATAGGTTGGGTTGTTTTCATCAAAAAAAAAAAAGAGGCCGAGGGGAAATTTAATTCAAGTATACAAAATTATGGGGGACTTCAATAGATCTTTCCCATCCTTTCTGTTTCTTTTAGCAGGGAAACCAATAACTAATGGCATAATTTAAAATAGTTTGTGTTAGAATTAGAGGGAAATTGAGGAGAAATTATTTTCATTTAAAAGGGGCTGGGGGGTTCTGGAACTCACTGCCTGAAAGCATGATACAGGCAGAAATCCTTATCACATACACTGAATACTTCAATATGCGCTTGAAGTGTTGTAACCTAAAAGACAACAAGATCTGGAATGAAAACCAAAAGAACTGTGGATGCTGTAAATCAAGAACAAAAACAAAGTTGCTGGAAAAGCTCAGCAGGAGGGGCAGCATCTGTGAAGGAGAAAACAGAGTTAACGTTTCGGGTCCAGTGACCCTTCCTCCGG